AATCACTATTACAATTGTACCGCCTCTCTCAAGTGCATATGTGCCCCCAACAAAAACAAAAAATTACTTAAACTGTCAACTACCTTTTAAATATGGTGCATCACACCATAGCCTTTGCTGTTCCATTTTGTAGCTGATCATGAGGATGACAATGAAAGGTGGAGCTGGGACTTAGTTTGGAAAGAGGCTGAGGGGAGTGTTCTTTTACAGTGTCCACTGAGAACTGCATTCTCCTGGGGCACAGTGGGGGGAGGCTGGAAAAAACAGAGCAAAGAGAGGCAGAAAATTGCTGAGGCAAAGGCTAGAGGCAGGGGTTCTCTGTGCCCAGAGCAGCCAATGAGAGAGCTCAAGAGCCTGCTTCCCAAAGGTCTTCATTAGTCCTAAAAGCCATATTCCTTATTGTAGAAGAGTGAAGAAATAAGGTAATCCCCCTTTAATGCAGGTAAATATGGAAACAATTATAAAATTCATACATCTACCACCAACAACAAAAATTTCAAATTAATATAATACACAGCAGTTTAACAAGAAATACCATTTTCTGTCAGGTATGGTGGCACATGCCTTTAGTCCCAGCACTTGGGAGGAAGAGAAAGGTGGATCTCTGTGAGATGGAGGCCATCCTGGTCTACCTGGTGAGTTCTAGGCCAGCTGGGGCTAGAGAGAGACCTTGTTTCAAAAACAAACAAAAAAATAAAATGATATTTTCTAATAAAAACAACAGGAGATATCTTTCAATCATCCTTTTTTTCACTTGACATTTATTTTTGTGGTGACAGACATCAAAACCTAAATTTGAAGTCATCATAGCTTGGTGCTGCTTAGCTGCAAAGAAGGAAAGGGCTCTTGGTGTCAGGGATGGGTCTTGTTCTGACTGGGGGAGTGGTTGAAGCTGTAGCGCCAAGGAGGAAGAGAGGGCTTTGGGTCTCTGCACATCAGGTAAGAAACAGAGCTGTGGGGGCTGTGGGGGCAGCAAGGGAGGACATATTCAAGGAGGAATGAGTTACTACAGGGATTAGGTCAACATTTACTGACACTTGCTGTTTGGTTGGAAGCAAACGTCCTTTCTATACATCCAAGTTGTTTACATATATATTCAAATCCATCAGTTTTTGGTGTGCACTGATGTGTACACAGAGCAGTTACACCAGTTCATAACAAGTGAGCATCAATGGATTCTTTTGCCTGGTCTCACCCCAGGTGGTAGAAATCCTGGAGTTCTGGCTTTGGGACCTTGGTCTATCTCCCCACTACTTGATTCTAAAGTGGTGAATACCTAGGTCGTGTGATGGCAAGTGAGTTAGATCAGGGTGTCTGTGAAGCACCTTTTAAGTCTAAGGTCATTTAGAAAGTATTAGAATCAAATCATGCTTTACTAGCAAGGAGACAGACTTGGATTCAAATCTCTCTTACAACACCTTTTGGAAGATAGTGCTAAGAATTTACTAGAGAATATTTCCCATATTCTGTTTTGTACTTTATAAGGTGGAACTATCTTGTAAATTTGAGGGAAAAATAAAATGTTTGTGGAAGACCTACCACGGTTCCTGATTCATGGGAAGCTCACGGTAAATGGAAATATGAAAACTACCCTAAACATCACCATGAGGCTTGAAATAAAATTCTTTAAATGCTTACAATTTTTTATACAAAAATTAAGACTAGCTAAAATACCCACTCCCAGGCACTTGAGTTTAGCAAGTTTGTTCCAATGTGTGAACTTATGCTTGAGTGTCTGTTTGATTCACAAGCATAATTTGTTTTCTTTTATGCAGATGGTAATGTATTTGCACAGATTTATTAATTTTTTGTCTACTTGAAACTTAAAAATGAGTCCAAATTCAGAGTAAGAATAGCATACAGTTTTTCGCAACCTTCCAAAAATTAAGTTGGAGTAATAGATATTTCTAGAATACACATATTAGTAAATTTATTCTCCCATGTTTTAGACATGGATAAATATGCCAGTGTGGTCTTTTTCCATGTCTTCATCAAGCTTATGGGCTCCTGTGGGACTCTGTCTTTCCCCTTCTTCACAGCTAGAGGAGAGAATTGCTAAGAAGTTACACTGGTGATGGATTTAAGACAAAGATCAGGCCATCTACCACACATTCATGGGAGTCTGAGACTGAGTCCTCTGCAGCTGGGCCAGCCCTTCTGCTTCCTCACTTCCTGATTGCCTACCTAAAGTGTTAAGTAAAATGAGTATTTTGCTTGATGACATTGTTTTAGTAAAACATTGTTGATAAGAATTTATGATACAATAAGCTGAGCATTATTTTTTAACTCATAATTCTAAAATAATTGTAGATTCATAAGAACTTAAAAAATATTAGAGTAGACTCCCATATACTCTTTACTCAGATACCTCTAAAGGGAAAATCTTACATAACCAAACCAGTACCAAACTAGAAATTAACATCGGAATAATACTATGGGCAGAGAAATTTTTATAGAATGAACAGTTTCAAGATTAAAAGACACTCTTTCTGAATCCTAAAGTCATCCTCTCTGGGCCCCTCTTGGCTTTTGAGTGTCTCACTGAAGAGTAACTCTGGGTTAACTTGCTGCCTTCATCCTTTCAGGTCAAGGCTGATGTTGCAGTCACACTTTATTCCTATTGCTTATTACAGCATCTGGCATTCAGTAGGACTTTGGGGTTAAAAAATGGCTAATAGCTGTTTACATCTATAAAAGGCTTTGCAGCTTTGACGGCCCAATTACTTGTGCCATCTCTGCTGAGAGTGATCACAGTCCAGAGGAAAGAGCATGCACCAAGAGCACTCACATCTTGGCATTTATTAGTATGTCCAGCGCCAAGCCACAGAATGTCCTTGAGTCTTGCTGAATTGTATCTATATAATAATTACTGTGAAGATTTATTTTTTCCTAGTAAATAAATAAAAGGGCTCTGAGAAGTAGATAAAGTAAAAGGTTTGATTGCCATTTTACAAGCTAAGCTTCAAAGAGGGTAAATTTCCAAGAATCAGAGTACGTGGTATTGCAGCTGGACACTTTAGGACAGGTGTCTTTTGTAACATTACATTGCCTGTCCAAAGTAAGAGAAGAGTGGATCAACACAACACGATGCAACTCAGTGAAACAGAGCATCCAGGACAAACAAAACAAAGCCACCCCAGTCAAGTACAGCAAACAATCCACAGCTCGGGTCACTGACTTTGGATTGGGGATCTGTCCTTGTGTGTGGCTGTTGCTGTCTTTTGCCATGTGCATTGGAAGTCTTCACTTAGGTGGAGTTGAGGGATGGGCTACTATAAAGGTGAGCTGAGGTTATTGTAGGTTAGTCTTTTAGAGTCTGTACAAAGAGTCCCCTGCATTGCCTAGTCAGTACCAGGTAGCCAGGAATCCTGCTTGTTCACCTCTGTCACCTGCTTTGCCCTCACCTCCTGTTGGAAGACATGGAATGATGAGAATTTGGAGCTCTCGGCTACTCACACTGCAACCTTTCTTTTTAACCCTATGAGAACTTAAATGAGGAAAGGGTGGAAGGTTTTGGTCTCATCTTTATCATTATCACTTTCAATTGTTTTGCTCGTGAAAAAGATATTAACTAACAAAATAATATTTTGACACGGAGCATTTTTTCTTAATGTGAAATGTCTGTAGCCACATTAGCCAAATTTCTTTCTCGAACTCCCCCAACCACCTTTTTTATACCCCTGAATTCTTCATATTAGAATGCCTATTTTAGAAATATTCCTTCAACTATTCATCTCATTGAAATGGAATAGTTGGTGGTAAAAATGATCATTAATTTCCAAGGGCTGTTGCTGAAAATGTGAAAAGCTCTGGTACAATTCATGTGTATGTCTGAAGCCCTGGGACCTTAAACACTGGGTTATAATTTGAAAGATCCAGTTTTTTGGGGGTGTTGTGCAATTTGATTTTTCCTCACTTTATGGGCATGTTATAATCAAGTTTATAGATGTAGAAAACTAGGACTAGAATATTCCTCAGGTATTCTGAGTAGTTTCCCTGATTTCGAGGCTGTCTCTACCTTTGTCTGTTTAGGTGGGGAATACTGTGGTCAAAGGAGAAAAAGAGAAAAAAAATCACTGTAGTACAGTATGTGCTATCAGAATGAAAAGGTTTAGGCTTGAAAGTTACCCTAAGAAAGTCCTAACACAATATCTTAGAATTATCAAAACTCTTGCAAACTTTAAGAGATAGAATAATACAAACATGTGTGTGTTCTAAATTTGGTGGCATTCAAACCCCCAGAATCCTAAGGTTAAGTAAAGGTCCTCAGAAACTTTTCATTCTTGCCTTGGTTTTGATTTTTTTCCCTACTGAACAAACAAAAATGTTTTCTTTGTACCTACGTGACAATTCAAATGAGGCATGATGCATATTTTTCCCTTGCATTTTAAATGAGTTAAAAATTGAACAATGGCATGCATAGAGAAAGAAAATTTGTCCTCACAGTAAAAGCACAATAACATTTTTGTGTGTCCTGTGCTTTTCACTGTTCCGTGCCTTCCCTCATTTTGACTTTCAAGGAATAGAGAGGAACCTGGCTAGGTCGTTGTACAGCTGTGGCCACATCTCTTGGTGGATGCACACCAGAGGCAACATATCACAAAGGATGGCAATGTGCTACAACCACACAGAAATGAGCATGTATCAAGACCTCCTCAGGGCAGCTCAACAGACACGCTCCTTGCACAGAATTTGAGGACTGTAACACTTTAAATATTAGAGTATTACCTGTCAGTTATACAGATTGACTTTTAGGAAGCATAGGTTATTAAACCATGTTAGTTTTGCTTAACTTTTGGTTAAGACAAGATATTATAGTTTTTAATACAAATATAAACATGCCAGAAATATATTAGAAGAATAATTCTAAAGTGAGATTGAAATTTTATCAGAAAATGCATTTTTGGCTTAAAAGCATAAATGTTAGGCATGAACATTCCTACTTGTGGTTATTTTACAAAATAATAAGATTCATAAAATTAAATGCTAAGTATACTTACAATATTTTCCAATAATGATGATGTAGAAGACGACTAGAGTGGATGTCATTTCCTTCTTTCTGAGCAACTGATTAAAGAAAGTGGATAAAATGTGGTCTTGGTTTCTGAGTCTCACACAGCTCACGGTGGTTGTGCTATTTCTGTCTGCAATCTTAGCAGCTATAAGGCAGCTCTCTCTCTCTCTCTCTCTCTCCTCTCTCTCTCTCTCTCTCCGTCCCTCCGTGCCTCCCTTCCTCTGTTCCCCTTCCTCCCCCTTCTCCAATCCTTCCTCTGAAAGTCTTAATATCTTTTGTTACACACAGAAACACACACACACACACACACACACACACACACACACACACAGAGCTGAGCAATGAGAAAAGTTTCTGAGAACACATAGATAGGCTCTGCTTACTCCAAACGTTCTGTTTCTGTGCCCTACAACCGTCTACAATATGTACATGGACATTGACAGATGTCTGACCTGATCAGAGCCACACTGTTAGAAAGAAATTGAACTAGAAATAAAACAAACAGAACAATTTTTTTTCCTCCTGTGAATGCCCTTGTGGCACAACTATAAGGCAGGAATTAAGATACAATTACAGTGGCCTTTTAAATATGTTTGGAAATTGGAACAATAGGATATGGCTCAAGGAAAGTACAAAAGAATAAAAACTGCTAAAATGAGTTTGTAGTGCTGGATTTTGTTATAACAGAGACCTTGATATGTCATGGCTGTATAGTAAAGCCTTCCTGGGTTAGAATCTTGGGGACCCTCTCGTTTTGGGGCTGTGAGATACTACTTGACTGGATTTTCCAGAGAAAAATACCTCTTCAGTCAGGTGGCTGTAATGATCCTCATCCAGCATTCTGAATAGTCTGGCACAGGTCCTAGTGCACAGAGGTGACTACCAAATGGCTGCAATTCACATGATGAGTTAAAATTTTTTTTTATTTATTATTTTGATTTTATGTGTATGCATGTATTGCCTGCATGTAGGTAAGTGCACCCGTGTCATGCAATGCCCGTGGAGGACAGAAGAGGCTGTTAGATCCCCTGGAACTGGAGTTATAGACAGTTGTTAGCTGCCATGTGGGTGCTGGGATTCAAACCCGGGTCTTCTGCAAGAACATTCAGTGTTCTTAATGGCTGAACCATCTCTCCAGCCCTCACATGATGAGTTTTAATATTGGCCAGCAGGGGAAGAAGATAAAGTATGAAAATACGAGAACATTTTCTCTTAACCAGAGTATATTATTCTTATGTTTTGACTTGGTATATTTCTAGAACTAATGGTTAACGCATCAACATGAAGAAATTTCAAGGTTAATGCCTTTTACACGTAGCCTCTAAAAGTAGTGTTTGTTTAAGCTGTATATGTTTCACTGACTTCAATATGCAAAGCTTATTTCTAAATAGTGGCTAAAAGGTTATTTTAACTCTATCTCTTTTTCTGATATAATTTATTTCATGGAAGGAGAAATTCCATTCTTGAATTTTCACAAGTTGTTGAATATTTAGCAGAAAGTTTATTTAATAAAGACTTTTGGTAGACATGTTTGTGGCTAGCTGAATTTAAATGCCCATTAAATTGTTCACTATCTTGAATGATCTTTGAGGTATTTTAAGATTAAAAATACCTATAAAAATATCTAGTCCTTGTGGGTGTTTAAGACCATACAATTGGCCCAAATAAATCAATTTTTACACTTAAGGTCATTTGAAGATCTGTTCTTTAGGGGTCACATTGGCTTGGGAGAAGCTCCTGGCTCCTTTCTTTTACCAGTTCCATCTATGTGAAGATAAGTCAAAGGTCCTGCTTGACCATGTCTGGCTTCATTTGGAAGCATGAATGAGATGTTTCTTCTGAGTTGACCCTCCTCTTTATAGACTGGACACTGGTTCAGTGGGGTCTCCATGTCTTCCCTGAACAAGAGGACAGGTGACTCACCACAATTACAGGACATTTTGAGAGATATTCCATAGTCCCCTGGAACTTAGTCGACCTTGGAGGGCAAGGGACAAAAACTGTCCTTTAAGTTTGTGGTGGTTTGATGAAAATGCTCCCCATAGGCTCCAAGTATTTGGACATTTTGTCCCCAGATGGTGGTGCTGCTTTGGGAAGTTTTAGAAGGTATGGCTAACCTGGAGGAAGCACATCACTGGGGGTGGGCTTAGAGAGTTCTTAAGCCTTGCCGGATCTCCAGCTGCTTTCTTGCTTCCTGTGCCTGCATGATGATGTGAGAGCTTAGCTTCTGCTGCTTTTGCTCCAGCCACCTCCAGCCACCATGCCTCCCTGCCATGATGGACTGTAATTCCCCTGGAACCATAAGCTCAAATAAACTCTTCCTTCCATAAATTGCTTTGGTTTGTGAACCATGGAGGGCAAGGGGCAAAAATTGTTCTTTAAGTCCCTCTGACCACATTAGTATAGGCCTCAAACTATGGCTGCTAAACATCCAATAAGGTTAGTTCCACCAGTCTGGTACTTTTAATTATCATGTTCTATGTCGATAAGGCTTGGGTAAAAAAACAAATATTCTCAGATTAACCTTGACTAGATATATATTTTGTTCCTTAAACTAGTTGACTAAACTATGATTTTAGGAATTTTAAGATTATGTGTATATTATTTTTGTCTCATCCTTTATTTTTCATAACAAACCTACACAGATCTTCATCACTTGCTTTGGCTTTCTCATTTTTTCTATTTTGGAAAATATCTCTGTTCCCATATCCTTTTTAACATCTTTTACACTCTCATTTTCTTTTTAAAAAAATAATAATGATACATAATAGCATTAACAAATAAATTTTCCATCTGTTGTGAGACTTCTTTTCCTGGGGATGCTAAGCAATGCTTATTCCCTTTTAAGGTTCTAGTGTCAAGACAATGTTTGATTAAAGTTTTACTGGGGAACCAATGAATCTATTGAGTTTACTTACTGAGATAACTGAGGGGTTGCTGAAGTATGTATGACCTCAGAGTATGCACACTGGAAAGACTTTACCCAGCATGGGTCATGCCTTCTCTTCCTAGCCTTCCACAGATTGTATACTTGGGCCTCCCCAAATCCAGGAGCCATGTGTAATTAGGGCCAAATTACATACAGTTGGCTGGGAAGAGTGAGCAGCCAGTACTCTTAACTGCTGAACCATGTCTCTAGCCCTCCATACTGGAATTTTTAACTGACTTGATCTTATGCAGGTTTTGTGATGGTAACCATAGCTCCTGTCAGTTCATATGTGTAATAGCCATGGGAGATAACATTTCGCAGCTTTCTTCCCCATCTGGTAGTTACTGCATTCTTTTCTACCATGTTCTTTTTTTATGGCTGAGCACTCACAATTGCTTATTCTCAACACTTTGAACAGTTGGACATCTCTGCATTAACCACTACTCACCGCAGTAAGAAAATTCTCTGACAGAAGCTGAAAGAATCACAGATTTATATGGATATAAACAGAAATATTTAGAAGACGTTTTGACAACATGGTCATTTAGCAGAACAACATCAATAGGTTCCTAGTTGGGCCTTTGACTTCCCTAAGCAAGGGTTTCGATCACATTTACAGTCCCAGGCGTGAATTCCCTTCTGTGAAGCAGGCCTCAAATCCAGTCAAGAGGCTGGTTGGTTATTGCCATAAACAGTCTTGCCACTATTGTTAGTTGCGTGCATCTTCCCTGGCAGATGAGCTGTGTAGCATGCAAGGTCCAGTGCAGTGTAAGGCCACTGACGACTTTTCTCACCCAGCAGCCTGCAGAGCACCTTCCTGTAGCATGAAAACAAGTCAGTAAGGAGAAAATTTTCAGGCCAGTTCAAGACCGATATCTCCAAACGGTGCGAAGTTTTCAGCAGTAAGGTCTTACCATCTAGTTACTGTGGACATAGAAGAGCAATGGCAATAACATATATTGTTTTAGATGCCTCTGTGATCTCTCTGATCAATCACTTGTAGAGAAGTAACTCATATCCCTGAGAGCAGCGTTGTTCACCCATGAGCCGTATCTTTGAGGAGTATATCTGTTTATACTCTTTTTTTGAGTTATATTTTAATTAGCTTATAAACTAGTGGGGTTTCACAAGGCTTCATTATACATTAGTTTTAGCTAATCCATTCTTTATCCCCCATTCCATGACTCCTATGACTCCATTCCCACTTAAATCTTTAGCTCCCATGATTCCCCTTTCTTTCATATCACATGTGCTCTACTATCCCCTCTTACTATATATTTTTTACCTGAGTTGCAAGATCATAGGTTCCCCAGTACCTTTTTCATGCACAGTTCCCGTTGGCTGACGTTCCGCTGCTCTGTCCTGTCCCCTTGCTTACCTATCCACTTGAATCTTTCTGCCCTCAGTGTTCTTCCTTTATTTTCATTTCACCTGTGTTCCAGCTCTCCCTCCCTACAAATGGCCCATTTCTAGTTTCCCGACTTCTACGTGTGCTCCAAGTTAAACACACAAAACAAACGATTTGAAGCTAGGATTGACGTGACAGAAAAAATGAGGTGTTTGTCTTTTGGGGCCTGGTTTACCTAGCTCAGTGTAATTTTTTCCAGTTCCACACCTGCAAATTTCACGATTTAAGTTTTCTTTACAACTGAGTACATATTTTTTAAACTTTTTTCTTAGAATGCTATTTCATCTTATTTTATGCACAGGCAACGAATAAGGAATATTAGTTTTTATATAAATGCATTGGTAGAAAAATCCAAGTGAGCACATCCATTTGTAGCAGGTGCTTTTAGTGTTTTGAGCCAGAGAAGTCTTTACTGGAGAGCTGTCCTTTGCACTGCAGTGTGCTTGGCAGTGCCCTTGGTCTCCACACTGGATACTGGAAGGTTCTGCAGTTGTGATAATTAAGGTGTCTTTAGAGATTAGAAAAATCCCCTAGAGGAAAAACTGCACCTTGTTGAGAATCACTGCATTGCAGCCAAATATTCCATTAAATAATGTTTAGATTTATTAGATTTTAAAAAATCAGATTGCCTACATCAATTTTTTTTTACCTAAAGTTTGAATTAAAGTGTGTTTTCTTGTTCTTGTTTTACAGTTAGAAAACAGATGGAATATGTTCTGTCTTCTCCTCCTGCCCATGTGGGTCAATTGTAAACTTGAATACATGGTTTGATGGAATTCATGGTGTGAGAGCATCTGCCTGGCTAGGCATTGTCTGACACAGGCTCACTCTCTGCTTCCTGTACCTGTTTGAAGATGTGAACACTGCTTTAGGCTCTAATCACCTCCTGCCACCATGCCTCTTTG